TTAAAAATTTTTTAAAAAGTAACAGCTGACAGTAATATAGACCTTATCATAGAATTGGGTTTACATAAAATGATTTCAATAGGATTTATGCACTTCCCCTGTTTTTCTACTTAATTATTTTAACAAATCCCTTGAAATTACTAAACTGCAAAAATAAATATTGGAACAGTTTTAACCGTCCTGCTGCAGTTAGTGTCCATAGTAAACATCTGAGCCTCAGGTTCCAACTGCTCCCACTGTCTACAGGCTGCAGCTTGTTAGACAAGTACACACCTTGACAAGTTTTTTCACCCACTCAAGTATCTTAGGTAGTCATCAAGCCATAAACAACACACTGAGGATACACTGCACAGGATAGTCAGCGTGATAGCATTCTTACATTGTGAGTAATCTTGTACATTTTAAAGGTTTTTGTGGACGTTCGTGTACAGCCAACACAGACTACTTTATCGCTGAAATGTAGTAAGTTGTGCTCAGTTTGGTCTGACATGCACACAGCAGGTCAGAGGAATTTTGGGGGGCTACTAAAGGGGCGTCTCTGTCTCACGTCTGCTATCTGTTACGTTTAACCTGCAGCAGTTTTGAAGAGAAAAAAAGGAGAGAGGTTCCCGTGAGCACAAGGCAATGTTTTTGATAAAGAAAAAAGAAGGAAAAAACTAAAAGGGCGCTGTAGGTTAACTCATCAGTCAACTGCAAAACTAGTAAGTCTGGCATTTACTATCTAATTTGCATGTATGTTTTTAAAGGACTGGTTTAAACTTGAGTTTGTCGGATAAACAAAGAAACGCGTGGAGGCTGTGTGAGCCAGAACTAAACTGCACGCGGCAGTGAGTAAACCAGAAGAGAAAAATCTGAAAAAGATCTCAAAACAGGGTCTGGTTTGAATTAAAAAGTTATTCCTCTGTTTCTCCCTCTTACAGCTGTGAGGCTTTTTAGAAAACTTTGACATGCAAAGTGCCAGAATGAGGACTGTTTTTCGGCATGAGAACACAGCTGCAGAATACATTATGTGAAAAGTTGTGGCCACACAACAGCTCTGCGTCAATCAGCGTTCTGAAACAAATACTAACAGTAAGGTTACTGGCATGTATGTCAGAGGTGTTGATCTATTTTTATGTTATTATAGAAACCTGTTAAGCCAGATGGTGGAGGAATGCTAGCATTTCTTTGTACTGGAGCCATTAAATTTGCATCTTGCAAAGGGTTTAAGCAAGCATATAATAATCACTTGTGATTTAGCACGGGTGGCAGCATTTAAGTATCATCTTCTCCTCTCAGTTTCTTACAATTCATTAACTCAATCATCCACTCAGAAAGTAAAGGACAATTGAAGGAAATCAGCATTAAAATGGTTTAAATTCTGCAAAATGGAAACTGACATTGAAATGGGGTGAGTCAAGCTGAATTGTGTAAATTCGATTGCAAAATCACAATGGGCTTGTCACAGGACTTGAGCGTGGTATGACTTATACTGGACTGTGCCGCTGAAGCGTACCAAAGGGAATGGCTGAATCAAACCCATTTCCTGTGTCTACATACTTGTGTGTGTGTGTGTGTGTGTGTGTGTGTGTGTGTGATAGTTTCCTCGTGATGATTACGCAGTGCCTCATAAAAGTGTTTAACCTCCTTGGAAATTTTTTCCTTTTATTCCGCTTCAACTTTGAATCATGGTCAATTGAATTTGGCTTTTTTTTTAAATGAATTTACAAACAAAAGACTCTTTCATGTCAAATTGAAAACAGATTTCTACAAGGTTCAGTTCATCAAGCATATAAAATAGGGGATTGCATAAATATTCACCTACTTCAAGTCAGTATTTAGTAATGCAATCTTTAGGTTGCAATCACATTGATTGCAACCTAAAGTGCATCTACTAAAATAAGCCTGTGTGATAGGTCTGAATCAGCTTTGCACATGTGGATACTATGATTATACCCCATTCTTCATTACAAAACTCTCAGGTTGCATGGGGATCATGAGTGAACAGCACTTTTCATGTCCAGTTACAAATTCTGAGTTGATGGTCTGGGCTCTGACTCTGCCACTCCACAACATTCGCCTTGTTGTCTTTAAACCATTTCTGTGTAGCTTTGGCTGTATGCTTCAGGTCATTGTCTTGCTAGAAAACAATAATTTTCTAAAGTCCTAGTTCTCTTGCAGACTGCACTTGACTGGCAATTGGTCATCACTTGAGCAACCAAATCAAATCAAAATTAAATCAAATCAAATCAAGTTTATTGTCATTTTGCTGAAGGGGCCGCTGCGTCCATGTGCGCCACCATCACGTTGAACATGGCGAACCTCTTCAGATCCTTATAGGTCTTCAGGGACACAAAGACATAGACAGTAGTGTGACGATGGTGAAGCTGCAGATGCTGTCCAGAGCTAGGTGCCTGTCTGTCCATCCGGAATAATGTCGTTCCCTCCAGTTGTATGTCCGTCTGGGATGTTGTCATGGAGCCATGTTTCTGTTAAAGCAAACACACAGCAGTCCCTCCACTCTCTGCAGGCTTCTCTCAGCAAACATAGCTCGTCCAGCTTGTAATCTTATGTAATATTTTACATTTTATGGTTTTAATTAATTGACGTTACTGTTTTCACTTTGACATGAATGAGTCTTTTTTGTAAACTCTTGTCCCAAAACTCAAATTAAAGTGACCATGATTTACTGTTGAAAAGCAATAAAAGGGGGAAAGTGTCCAAGAGGGGTGAAAACTTTTTATAGGTATTATAAAGATGGATACGTAAAAGTTAAAATACAACATATTCATAATGTATTCCTTTGTACAAATCTTTCCCTCAGGTGTTCTCACAGTCAAGATGGCCTCCTCTGACTTTGACGGGACCAACCAAACCAATTTCAGCGCCTTCTACTGTGAATTTAATGAAGAGTTCAAATACATTCTCCTCCCTGTCAGCTACGCTCTGGTCTTTGTGATTGGCCTGGCGCTGAATGCCACAGCGCTGTACGTGATTGTGTTCCGCACAAAGCGCTGGAAGCCCTCCACCATCTACATGTTCAACCTGACCATGTGTGACACGCTCTACGTCTTCACTCTGCCCTTCCTCATCTACTACTACGCCGATGAGAACGACTGGCCGTTCAGTGAACCCTTCTGCAAGGTCATACGCTTCCTGTTTTACGCCAACTTATATGGTACAGTTTTGGCCTTCTACGCACAACACAGTACAGCAGCTGAGTTTGACTTATGGTACAGTTATGGCAAGATATAGTACAAGACAGTGTGTTACAATAAATTACATTGTGATACAATAAGATGAAATAGTATTTTGTGAACACATGCAATATGACATAAATTACTATGAAAAATGATGAAATGCATGCAGTACTTTATAGTGTCCCATTGTACAACAAGATGAAGTACAATAAGAAGACATTATAATGTGCTATGATATAAACTACTCAGATCTGAAATGACAGAATGCAGTCAAGAGGATGTGATACTAGAGAATAAACAGTACTATGCAAAATAATGCTAAACTAAATGAAATGGTCCAGTAAATAGTGAAAAATAGTGTAGTTTATGATAGCATAGCATAGCATAGCACAGTGTATAGTATATGTAGAGTAGTATATCATATATTACATATCATGCTACAACAAGAAATATTACAATTCAATATAACACAATATAAATGTGAAAAGTGCAGTACAATAATGGCAGAATATTATAAAACAAGACATGTTACAATAGGAAAATAGGCAACAGTGCTACCAACTGCGCCACCCTGCAGCCCAGAAAACACTATATGCTCAGTATATTACATAATATGATATCATATCATGGCCATCTGATACATATTAGAATATCTCTAAAAATAAGTAATGGGATGAATAAATATGGCTTAAATAATAATAACAATAATAATAATAATAATAAACTTTATTTGTATAGCACTTTCTAAGAACAGAATTCGCAAAGTGTTTTTACATAATAAAGAAATACAACACGCAGAGACAAGGTAAGACAGGAAAACAACATGTATAAAAAGTACAGGCAAAATATAAAAACACACAATAAAAATGGAAAAGAACAGACTGGGTCACTATTAAAAGGTGTTAAATAACAGTTAAATAATAGGATATACTGTGAATAATGTTCATTACAGTACTTTTTTTTTAAAAAAAACGTATTGAATATTTATCATTCTGATAGGTTCCATTCTGTTCCTGTGCTGCATCAGTCTGCATCGGTTTGTTGGCATCTGCTATCCAGTCCGCTCCCTAAACTGGTTCAGCGCCCGTCGTGCCAGGTTGATATCAGTGGCAGTGTGGGCCTGTGTTTTATTCTGCCAGGCACCCGTCCTCTACTTTTCAAGAACTAGGTGATTTGAATTTCTACACATTTTCTTTATTTCTTTTTTTTTTTCTAAAAATCATTCTTCATTTCTACATCTGTTTACTGAAAGTGTCTCTAATTGTGTTTAACTGTGGACTATTGATTCTTGTGGCTGGCCAATTTTGCCAAGTGCCTTATCTTAGTGTGTTTTAATGGGGTGCTAGCTAACAAATTTACATTTTATACTGCTTCTTTGCTCACTCCTATCTCACTGAATATAGATCAATGCCACCTTTTTAAAGTCCTAAGCATCTCCAATCTGTTCTCTCCCTCACCAGGGATGTGGACACTGAACGGATCTGTTACGACACCACCAGCCCGGAGCTTTTCGACGACTTCCTGGTGTACAGCTCGGTGGTGTCGGTGCTCATGTTTGCTCTGCCCTTCATGGTGGTGATGGTTTGCTACGGACTCATGGTGAAAAAGCTTCTCGAGCCGAGCTGGAGCTCTGAAGGGAGAGCTGCGGGTGCAAGGAGAGGCCCAGCAACGTCCAAGAAGAAGTCAGTGAAGATGATCATCATCGTGCTGGCAGCGTTTATGCTCTGTTTCCTCCCGTTCCACCTCACCAGGAGCCTTTACTACTCTTTTAGATACCTGAGGCAAGTCGATCCAACACAGGTGAGGACAAACACTTCTTTGGTACTAAATGTGTCGCGATGACTTTAAAAGCTCAGTGTTTGAAACTTTTTCTATGTCCAACAGATTAGCTGTAGTTTGCTGGAGGCCTCCAGTGTGGCCTACAAGGTGACGCGACCTTTGGCCAGCGCCAACAGCTGTGTGGACCCCATCCTTTACTTCCTGGCTGGGCAGGACGCCCGCAGCAATCTCACCAACAAGTGCAAACAGTCTTTACCAAAACCAAGAAGTGTGAACCACTGTTTGACAACACAACTCTGATCCAGTACGTGAAACAATCTCAGCAGGAACGCAAAGGGTTTTGGTGATACACTTAGCTGCCTCAAGAGTGCATCATCAATGCTAAATGTTCAGCAGCTGTCTGTTGAGCAAACGCAGGACTTCTGTTTGAAGAAGCATGTGCGCTTCCATGAAAGAATTATAATTTACATATTGTTCCTTGTGTTTTTTTTGTTGTCTCCAAGTGTGTCGGAATAGACAGATGCTGCACTTTTATAAGTTCCATTTGTAAATTTCACAGAGACCAAATTAAAAGGAAATAATTTGGAACTTTCTTGGTGTAATATAAAGCTGAGTTTTCCAAAGTGCAGCCATGATGATGGAAAGGTAATAAATGAACTTCTAAATCATGCTAGCTTACGGCATTAAAATTATTACAAGATGCGTAAGGTTGTGTTTTTGTGTTTGAAAAGAAAACCTGTGTTGTAATGACGGCGCTAACCTACACAGTGCTTCACAGCTGTGAGTGGTTTGTTGTGGTTGTTTTTTTCCCTACAACTCTGCTGGATAACTCTTGCAGCTGATGTTTGTGTATCTGGAACAAACAGTTCACCTTCCTCTGAGCTGCATATTGGAAAAACATTACTGTGTTCCCTTCAGGGTTCAACCACACTGTGGCTTTTAAAGGCTCCTGGAATAGAGCGTGTGTCACTTTGAGTAATAAAATGTGAAGGAAGTTAAAATGATGCTATAATAAACAAATTTTGACAATACGGTTGCGGCGATACTTTCCTTTAAGTCATGTAAAGTATTCTTGGAAGTCATAATGAAAACCAGGAACACGCAACAGTAAAGCTTCAGAGCAGTTGTGATTAAAAGCAGTGACATTTGTTAGGAGTTCATAATGTATTAACTGTAATTAAGGGGATTTAAATTTTTAGGTGAAATGTAGCTGAGCTGAGCAGCTGCGTAACCTTTAATCTAATGACTTCCACTAGGGGGTGGTAGTGGCCAACAAACAAGAAAGGCGTTCGCTTATGAAGTTTTGGGACTTTGAGGGTTCATCATGGGCTCGCTCACATACATCAACTATGTCAGCAACAGGCACACCAGGCAGCTTTTAAAATACACCTCTTCTTTTATTTCAAGAGTAAAAACATCATACAGAAAAAATTGTAATATCATATAAATGCAAGCTACAAAGCTGATGAGATGAATGCTTGTTTCCTTTCCTTCCTACCGGCAACACTTCAGCTTGAAAACATTTAATAATAACTCTAATAATACTAAGAATAGTATTAAAAACAGATCAAATGAAAACATGTAACTGTAACTTCAGCCAATAAATATCCTGTCCTCCAGACATGTTGTCATATTCCTCATAACAACATAATAAGAAAATATGAAAATGAGTAGTTGAAAAAAAAGAGCTCTATGATTATAGTACACGCTTTAAAACCCACGAGGATGTAAACTAAAGCCAAGTAAGCTGCACGACTTTGAGGCATTGCAACCGCTAATTCTCTGCAGCCACTGGTTGGTTTATTTAATTAAGCTATAAAAAATTAATGTGTGTGTGTGTGTGTGTGTGTGTGTGTGTGTTTATTTATATGGAAGTGGTTTCTTACAGTTATGGAGTTGCATAACTGGAGTCTGGCTTTGTGTACTGACTGTTTGTGTAGGTTTTAAAAGTTCATGATTTCAATGGAAAACTAACAGTCGCAAAAGAAGGAAAACACTGAAACCGTCCACCAAAGTGATAGAAAAATAACGTATTTGATGTTCATTTTTAATCATCAGTTTAGCTTATATGCACGATGCCGTGACAGAGTTTGCTGGTTCTTGATTGATGGACTCGCTGGTGCAGTTGTTTCTTTCCCATTCGAGGGGATCTAATGTATCACCTCACGCATACCGTGTGTTTAAATTATAAAAGCCAAGTGTAGTGTGTTTCTTTTTTTATATACCCACCCATATTTACATATGTACATTCATTTACATGTTTTCTTCTACAAAAAGTGAGAACTACCTACACATCTACGTTTTCACCTTAGGACCCAAATGACAGTTCGCACCCTGTAATAATCCACTGGGCTGCAGTGGCATTAAAAAAATGGTGTGCTAAGTATGAGGAGCCCGGCTAAAGCGAAATTTGGCCCCTGATCACCTACTTGAATCTAGTCTACGAGCTTAAAAGTTACGAAAGCTGTTCATGCTGACGGCGGGTAGGTTGCTGTATGCATGTTTCATGGTGTTTAATAAGTGAGTGCAGTGAGTTAAGACTACATTCCAGATCCTCGTGGTTTAAAAACTCAGCTCACTTGTAGGTTTCATACCAAATTATATCGAATTCAATACTTATTGCAGTAATCAAGTGTCATATGATTCAAAAATCACAGAAGTCTTACAAGCTGATGAAATCATCCATGCGCTTTCATGTGCTCATTCATGTGGCACTTGGTTGCAGACAACTTGGCGTGATGTTTCCCTCTTTTTTTAAGCTTATAAATGAGAGATTTGTGGAGGGGGGGTTTGTCAGCAAGGTACACACAGGGAAGACTGGGGTTGTGTTTTGATGGGTAGCCATTGGTGAGTGTATGCAGATGCCTACATGCACTTTATGTGTTGTACCCCTGTGTAGTTTTTATAAATGGAAGCACAAACAACAGGGTTGAGAGTGAACTGATTTCTCATCCAAACTTTCTTCCTCCTTCTAGTTTCAGTTATTAATATTTGTTCATCACAGAGCTTTAAAAGAAATCCCGTCCACTTGTGTCTCCAACAGGCTTGTTTGGACCGGGACAGTGAAGCAGCAGTGATTTAGGCTGAACTTCTCCTCTCAAAAGTACTTTTTTTTTTCTTTTTAAACATTATAATAAATAGTTATATTCCTCTTATCGCATAACTAGAAACAACTTCTTCCAGCAGGAGGTGCTTCCGGTTTCTCGGAATCTGAAAACTCCCTCCATGCCGGCGGTCAAGTTGTCCCCGGATGATGAGGTCATCTTCAGCGAGGTAGCATTTTCGTACAGCGTTTCTTTGTCTCTTCACCTGGAAAGAAGAAGTCAAAAAGTGGCATTTAAATGAAAGACACCTATATTATTAACTAACAAAGTAATGACATTTAACTTATTTTAGAACACGCTGGTGTCATTATTCCCCCCTTTGGCTGATGTTGAAGCATTAGTTGCCAGTGAAGAGATTCCCTTTAAGTGTAGAAAATGATGAAACAAACGATTTTGACAGCGGGGAGGCCCAGATGATTACTGTAATAAAACTGACTGAGCTCTGACTAACCACAGAGAGCGTTGGCACACATTCATAACCGGTCAGCTGGAAACAGAAGAGGATCATTTCCCAAATCGTTTTAGAGACACTCCTCAGCTAAACTCATCATACTGCATATAATTTCCTCTCCCGGTGAAATGTAATTCAGTCTTGGCTGGAGCAACCTCTAAACTGCTTCACGGCACTTAAAAGTGTTTCAAAATTGGCAGCGTCGTAGTAGTGAGGAAGAAACAGAAAGAAACGAGGAGGGACACAAGTAGCTCCAACGAGAGTGAAAAGATGAAGGACAGAATATTAGCAATTAGACAGTAGAAGAGAAAGTGTGTCATTATTTGTTTTGGAGATATTACCTCCTGATGCCAGATGATGAAGAGCAGAAGGATTTCCCACCAAACAGGGAGTTTCTTTGCTCCTGAGATGATGTCTTGGTTTCCACAGTGACAGGCTTCTGCTCGGGGATCTGAGCGACTTGAAATCTATGAATTGAACAAAAGATAGAATTGTTATTACATTTAGATTATCACTGCAGTGCAAGTGTCACAAATGTGCATACAGAAATGTGCAGATTTTCTGTCTGACAGTCTGTGAGGCCTGAATACTCATTTTAGATGTTCTGCTTTTTTTTTTGGTTTGTTTTATTTAAGAATCAAGACATTTTGCTGTTGAGTAGTACATCGAAAACCCTGTGAAGTAAAATATCAGATCTGATGATGGTGTGTGGTTTTTTGTTTTTGTTTTTGTTTTTGTTTTTTTTGCAACAAATCAGTAACTTTCTTGCTGTGAATGTATCAGTACTGGAAGAAGTAATCAAATCTTTTAATTAGTGGCAAAGTGGCAACAATAGAGTACAGAAATATTCCTTAAAGTAAAGGCTGGTCATTAAAAAAAAGAAGGAAAATTACAGAAATACAATCAGAAAAAAGCATTTGAAATATGTTTGCATGTAAGTAAAATTATTCTATATATATCCAGCGGAGATAATTGCCAAAATTTGGTGTGAAAGGAGGAATATTAATTTTCATGTTACTGGCAACTTTAATCTAAAACAATGCAGCATATAAAGTATATGATACGAAACCCTGATCTGCAAAGTAAATAACAGCTAATTTTCATAAAAATGTTGAGAAAACATACAATATTTGCCTCTAAAATGCAGAATATGAGCATATGAGTGCTCAACTAAAGTAGAAGTAGCTTAAAAATGTTCACACTACATGAGTAAATGTATCTATTTACATGACAACTGGACAATTTTAACTAAACAACTTACAATCAGTATAAAGCAGACTCACCTCCCGACAGACAGCACTGTGAGCTCTCCCTCCTTCTTCTCCTTCACTTCACTTCCTTCCACTTTTTCCTGTACAGTTTTTGGCACGACAGCTTGCGTACGGTGTGTGTCCACGCACACTCCCCCCAGCAGGGGGTTCTTCTGCTGGTCACTAGATGTGTCCAGGGAGGGCAGGATGAGGGTCTGCGGGGGCTTCAGTGGATCTTTGAAAGAATCCAGGGGAGGAATGAGAACAGGAGGCCACTTTCTCTGGGCGCAGCGGGTGCAGCGGTAGCCGTGTTTGGGGGCCAAACCGGAGAGGCCGGAGATGGTGTGGAGGTGGGACTGGTGGGGGCAGAGCCTGGGCAGGGAGCGGAACGGAGACAAGGGGGACAGCATCGGGAACCTGGGAGGAAAGAAGACAGGACATGATCAAAACTCTCAGTCATATACAGTTTCAGTTTAGTCAAACCATATGGTTCATTTCACTACAAACACAGACTATGGAAAAACTTTAAATAAAACCTCTGAACCCCAAACAGTCTGTAGGCGTGGGCTCATTTTTCACTGCAACATGTGACTAATATAAGTCCTGTAGCTCTATGGAAACAACACAGTTCTAGCTAGAAGTAGAGAAAACTTCGAAATATCTTTTGTGCTGTATGACAAAGTTATGATGCCAAGAAAAAAAAAGTTCCAAGTTGTCACAGGTGTCATCAATAGTGGAAAAACAATGATTGCCCTATACATTACAGAGTATATTAAAGTCCCTTAATCTTCGTCGTGCGGCTGTTGTTCACAGCTGAGTCACTCATGACTTCCTTCCTGCAATGAGTTGCAATGTTTATTACGGAATCTGGTTAGCACAGATTGTATGTAAATAGTGTAATTAAAAAAATGCAAGCCTTTAAAAAATTGTAATAGCTTTTGGGGTTCAAAGGTTTCAAATATGATTGTTAATAAATCTTTCTTCATGACAGAATGGGGATGGCAGGAAAAATACACAGCAAAGGTGTTACTTGTGACGTTAAACCTCTCTGTTGTAATCAAACTGTGCAGTGTGTCATGGCAATAAATCAGCATGCACACTAATTATTTATACATACTTTTTAAGCACACATCATATCCCTCCTCTTGTTCTTACAGCCACATTTTATTTTATTTTACTAACATTACTAAAATGCAAGTCTTTTCATCCCAGATCATTTATGCAGATAGTAATAAATGTGGAGACAATATTGGCTCTTGAGGTCCCCACTGCTTTCAACTAGACAGTTAGGAAAAGTTTGTCTATGTTGCTAGACAACAAAGCATAAATGAAGATGACAACGCTGTAAATGTGTCCCATCACAGTCTGTACTTACGCTAATGAAAATTAATTTTGACAACTGAAAACTAGAGTTTAATCTGGTAATGTTTAAAGAGTGAATTATGTTTTTTTCATTTGTGTCTTTCCATTGTTGTTTTGTGCAGAGCTAAAAGGCAGAACAAAAAAGATGAATGCAGCTGATATGCCTGCGTTGGTGACCTGTAGTGACCCCACAAAACCCCCTGCAAAACCTCCCACCACACACACACACACACAGAATCTGAAAGCTTTCCAGAACTGTGTGTGCATGTCGTGTGTGTGTGTGTTGGAATGTTCTCGAACCTAAAGCTCACATGTTACAGCGGCCTCATTGAGCAGCAGCACACTGCAACAGGCCTCTGAGACCTGCCGCTATTGTACATGTGGCGTACATATGGACATGAACTAGATCCAGTTACCATCACATAACATTGTGATAACATGAACTTTTGTGATTCTGCAGGAGAAGCTAGGTCAAAGCAAAGAATAGACCACAATCTGGAGAATCTAAGCTTTATAGGTGGCAAATTAGGAGAATTCAGGTGTAAGTAGAACACGTATTCAAGCAAAAGCCAAAGTGCGGTGGTGGAGACTTGTGGTGTGTTGTTCGGCTTGTTAGATTAAATTCTGACTACTTGGGCAATTTTAATGTCGTAACTTACAACCCAAGTTCCAACCGCAGGCGCTCTCGGTCATGTAAATTGTGTGACTTGGAGCTATGTGACAGCCAGTGAGCTTAGCAACAGACTGGCTGTTAAAGCCTCATGACTAGACAGCTGTCACGACTGTGTGAGACGCTCGCTGCAGACCTGTGGGAGTGACTCACTGCCAAGAAACAGCCTCCACTGAGGAAATGTAGCCCACATAACCTTGTTTTTACATTTTACTATCCTATTGTTTCTGTTTAACAGGTAGAAAAATAATAAAATGCAGATGGAGTTATTGAGTTAAACATACAGTGGAGGCATAATATGGAATTATACTCCTATAAATGTAGCCTGGATTTTATTGTCAGGTTTAGGTATGCATTCTCAGTGCAAAGTATAAGCTGTATTTTTTTTTCTGCAGGGAGGAGGCAAAGTTTTCTCCAACTCTCTCCCACAATGCACACAAACACACTCTCAAGCACACTTTTTTTTTCTTTTTACGAGAACCTCTTGGCAAGACAGGTAAGAGACTGCCTCCAAACTGTTTCTCTCTCTCAAACTTTCCTTGCCTCCTTGTTAAATGTGACCTTGAGCAGCATGACTCTGCAGAAGCATACGATGATTTGTGGGTGTGTAAGTGTCTGTGTGGGCTCGTACTTGATTGACGAGCCTTTGCTCATGGCCAACTGTTTGGTCTCGTACTCCAGCAGCAGCTCCTCCAGGGCAGCAGCATTTTCTGGAACAATACACAAACATATAGATAAGACTCACTTGTAGGGTCAGTGGTTTTGTTTTTGTCCCAGTCGATACTATAACTTAGAATAATCAAACTCTTTGGAAAGTTTATGAACGAGGTCGGTGTAGTTGATGCACCATAGGGAACTTAGAGTAATACCAAAAATCCAATATATGAACACTAATTACGAACATTTATCAGCTTTCGGCAATGTTGGAACTGTCATTTGTTGATTATTACAGTAAATGTCCGGTCCAAGAGCTTCGATTAGCTGCTATCTGTTAAATCAGCCTTTAACAAACAAGTAAACAAACGTGTTTAAAGAGTCAGAGGTAATCATGAGCTGAGAAGTTGGCTTAACTTTTTGAGCCTTCAAACCAACCAGTCATGTTGTAAAAACAGAAAGAACTGTGTTTTCAACTTGTTCCTTGAATTAATCATGATTGATGTGTAATTCTGTCAGAAAAAGGAACCAAATCTAAGCATAAAGTTGTGATATCTTCCTAAACCACTTTATTCTACTTGTATCATTCAAAAGTGTGCCCAAAAATGTACCGTCTGCATGAACCAGTTTCAGTAAAAAACACAAAATTCCACGGTCTTCGGCACAACCGCAAGGACATTGCCAACTCAGCTGTGACTAACAGTCACATGACAAAAAATTGAGGGAGTTTTTGGCTGAACCAGCCAGACTTGCAAGTCTGTGATTACACAGAGCAGATAGAAGACAAGTGTGGAAACACATTAAAATTGTAAGTAGTAAAATATTTATTGGATGTGGAGGCCCAATTTTTTTTTCTCTAGTATTAGTAACACATGTGGGCACTTGAAAAAATGTTGTAGATATTGATCCAGGTTTTTTTCAATTATTGTAAAATAAATATTTAATGAAATTCTAGTTGTTCTATTTGTGCGATTGATGGCGTTATGATTTTGTGATACTGCACAAAAGGCATTTCTGAGTTCGCTCTACTTCTAGCCATGGTTTCCACAGAGGAACAAAACTTCATATTGCAGTAAAAAATGAGTCAACAGTGAGTAAAAACATACAGTAGCTGAAGCAACGAATGCTCACAAACTGCTTGGGGTTCAGAGGGTTAATAAAAACATCCATGCCTCTGGTGTTGACAGATGTGACTACAGACACTGAGTTCCTCAAGTTTAACCCATCAATCTGAGATGGAAAAAAAAAGAAGAGCTGCTGAGCCGGCCACAATAGAGACATGGCCTCAGTTGTGTGCGACTGGCTGTGATGACACTGTGGTCTCGTGTTGCCTACAAAGCCACGAGAGATGAAATGACTCTGACCACTAGCTCACGTGTGACGTCACTGCTTTGCTGAGCTCGTACCTTTTTTCTCAGTGATGAGACGAACCAGAACACTGATGGTGTCTTCGTTCAGGTCATCAGATATGTAGGGGCAATTGTTACCTGAAGGAAAAAGACAGAAAACCCTTTATTAACAGAGATCCATCTGCTAATGATGAACATACGTTAATATTTTAGTCCCTAGTGTGGTTACTTATTTCTTTACAGAACTACATAGCACACAATGCATGTCACATACGTATAGTCACATATTTTGTCATTTTAATATGCATAGAAAGAGACATACGTAAGGTAAAATTGTGTTTTCCGTTTAATGTGGTACATCTGAATCATCTAAATGGCAGAAAATGTCATTAAAGTGCCTCTCCGATCACCGATTTTTTTTTTCTTTTTGAGTTGATGCCTTAAAATGACTTAACTCTACACCATGCTTCCTCTAGAATGTGCCATTCTTTACCTGCACCATTGCTCATCTAAACTGCTCAGACACCACAAATCTACTCTGTGCAACACAATGGCAAAATTGAATATTGAAGTAGTTCAGCCACAGATGTTTGAACTGACTAAAAAGAACACTGAAGATAAAGAAATCCTAAGTTTGTTGCATATGAAACTGGGTCGGACTCGATCCTTTGCCAATGCATCAGGGACTTTAGCCCCTACACATGGGTCACCTGCTCAACCAACTGAGCTACTGGGGTGCTCGAAACCCTGACTTTATGAATTTGTGTTGAGACTGTCCTCGTTGCACTGCAGTTCAACAGTGGAAAAGGTCTGCCACGATGTTAACTGCTCATTTCAGTCATGATGTCTTTCAGCATATATAAAAACATAATGTGAACGTGTTAACAACATAAAAAAAAACTTGATTTTCAAGGGAGGACAGCTTTAATATTATAGGTATGGCTATACTTTGGCATGCATGTGTCACTTTGCACCATTTTAGCACCATATGTACATTAATGTCAATACGATATTTTACTTTATATACTTTATCTCAGCATATTCTATTTTATTTTATTCTATTTTAACTACCACATGGCTGCTAGTACTATTGTACAGTTGTTGCAACTGTTCCACATGCCTTTGAATTTCCAGTTTTCTGAATCTGAATTTGAATGTATTATAAACTAAATACGTGGTCCAGCCATTTCAAATATATATATATTTACTTGCACTATTTTTATGACTTACATTAGAATGAACTGTCTAACTTTCAACGGCAGCACAGTTCACACGGTGCATGCCACTGCTGGATACCGTGACCCGCTACACGATGGGACTGATAAGGCTGGATGTGGATGGCTGAACAGCAAAGAATAGAGATGCCTCCATAGCAACCATCCCATAAAAGCACAGCACAGTGAGGCAGCTGAGAGGAGAGCGATGAGGGCGCGGGGGGTCCAGAATAGCTCACTCAGCAACTACGTTCCGTTCAGTACTGCTGAAACACACAGAGCTCAATGTGTGTGTGTCCATGTGCAGTGTACTGTGGTGTGATGTACCAAAACCCCTAGTACCAGGTGACTATGTGTGTGTGTGTATATTACAGAGCAAAATGACAATGTATAGATTGCAAGCGTGTCTGTGTGGCTCTGTGTATGTGTGTGTGTATTTCTGTCTTTCTTGCATAAGCAGTATTAGGCTGTTGTTAGGCCATAACAATAGCTCTGTCTCCACAGTGGCTGTTGCTATGTGAGGATAACAGCATCAGTTTCACAGAGTGGCACTCATTCTCTTTCTATTTATTCCTGCAACAAAGTCACATCCATGCATTCAGTCCGTCACCGTCAGCCACGATGAGGCACCAGACAGGCTTCTTTTCAGATGAGTTTCAGTTCGTTCAATTTGAAAAATCAGCGCTGACCCTCAAATTTCCTCTTAAAAAGTAGCAGCATTGTTGCTAAATCTGAAAAGTTGAGCTGTACACCGCACAGTCACGCAGTTGCAGATTTGACTCCTCTTCACGACATTTGTCCTGTTATCAACCACACGTTTGCCCTTCCTGTCTCCCTCCCTCAACTTTACTGTCACTGCATTCTCCGTCAATGCAAACTTTTCTCTGTCCGCAGCCTCAGAGGTACCACTGCAGAGTCTGATTTTAGCCCTGCCGAGCTAAGCTTGGCCTCGCTATAATTCATCCCCGCGGGCGTTCCCCCTGAGTGGAGATGATGAGAAAAGTGCTGGAGTAAGAAGTTCCTCTAACCTTAGCCCAGTCAGGACTACAGCGGACAGACACTGCAACAAGGATTGTTACATAACAAGCGTGAGTAAGGGGGCGGGGGGGACATAAAGCAATAAAAGCCTGTCCTCTAATCATTGCTTTATTTTCTATTTCTCTTGCTGCTTTCTGCTTCCTTACATTCCAAACTTTATCTGACACTGCCTATGCTCCCCTCTCTTGACCTTTAGCTGTCTCACGTAGAAGCACTTGCTTAGCTTATCTCTGCACCACTGCATCATTTGTCCTTAAAGCTGCACACAAACTGAGAATGAGAGGAGGTGAGAGTGAAGAGGGAGATAAGATGTCCTAAAACCTAGTTGTTGTTCTCACATAAAGTTTGGAACTGTGCCTTCAGCTTATTAAAAGAGATCGAAAGGCTTCATAAATACACTACGGTTGTCTTTTCTCTTCTGTAGTTTATTGTGTCACATGCAAATTACTGATAAAAGTCATGAATTCAACATCCAAATCGAGTTCAACTGAATTCAACTTAATATTAACTTTGCCTTGAAGAAAACTTGCACTTAGGCCTGACGTTGAAGTTTTCACTTAAAGTTCAGGGGGTTTCGTATGCAGCTCATACTGGAAGTTAAACAGCACAGTGAAACGAGGACAGAGAGCGATCAAAGGGAGAAAAGACGAAGGAAAGAGAAGACATAAACAATGAGGCGAGGGCCCGATTGAATTATTGATCTGGCTGGGAAAGGAGAGATGGATGGATAGTGTCATGTTCACATGAGAAGGGAGGTGGGTGTCAGAGAGCCAGGAAACTGGATGAATGGAGCGCAGAAGCAGTGATAAAAGAGCTGCAGGGGGATGGGGGTTCAGGGAGTTTCCCTTGAGGCGCAGGAGCAACTTGAATTTCACAACAAAGCCATCGGAGAGACTGAGGCGACGCTAAAAACAAAACGCTGAGATCACTGACAAAGACCGCTGCTTTGACCTCTGCCTTTTCTCAGGGATGCATGAAACCCTTCATCCTCATACAAGCAGTTTTTAACTATATTTGCTGCTCTCAGATCACCTTGGCCTCCACTACACAGGATTAGAAACATGTGATGTTAGACTTTTAAGGTACAATAAATGAGCTCTTTCTTGTTTTATGCATGAGGAGACATAAAAGATACAAATCGTTTTCATGGCTGTGGCTGAATTGTTGGGAAATGAAGCTAAAACATCTGGTGCGAAGGAAGAAAATAATGAGTTCTCTCCTAGTAATCAACTGCAATGAACTACCAATTTACTACAGACACTCTCAATCAGTTCATTGAACCAATAAACCTCTAAATGTGAGGATGTTTAACTGCATGACTAAGCAGGGAAACAAAAAAGCAAGTTCAGTCAGGTACATGAAGGAAAAGTGAAGCCTTACTTTATGCAGTTTATGGATGTATCTGTATATAAAGATACAGTCTAAAACAGACATGTTTAATGGGTCATTTGCAACACCGTCCACGTCATTTTATGAACTTGTTGTGAGCACACATAAAGGATCATTTGATGTTTGCAGCAGCATTATTTTAATTTAAATGACCGACACACTAAGTTATCCAGAGCAACAGCTGCTGGTGCATCGTGTTTTTTGACATGCCACAGAGTCTGATCTGGAGTCGCAGCTGTGCTCTGACGCCGCAGTACGTACAGCCTTCGCGGCACAGCTTTCTCTTGAGCTTTGCACCATCAGGTGGGTGACGGAAAAGCCAGCTTAGCCTTTAAATCTGTTTATGCTTGGCACTGAAGGACAGTAACTACCGGTCGTGTATGCTGTCTGACAGTCAAGTGAAGAGAAGCTGATAGGCACAGACCTGCTGGATAAATTGTGCAATAGCAGCGCATTGTTAAAAACTGCAGGTACGAGCACTTGAGCTCTCTGGGCTGCAGTGGACTGCGTGCTCTGTGTCATAAAGTACATACTCGCTTGGAAAAGAAGAGTAGTCACATAGAAACTAACTCTTGACTTCACTGTATAACCTCTGCTATTCATTGGCGTCCTTTTAACCCACATCCACTTCTCATATGAGACAAATCTATGACATAATTGCACATTTGCAGTGTTAATTCAATTACATAAACCCTCTCTGACTCACATGTTTGTGTAAATCTTTACAGCATCTAACAAAAAAAAATAAATCCACACTTCACTATGCGTCCTGTAGCACAGCTGAATAAAAGCTCCCATGTGACTTGAGGGTTCTACCTGTTATACAAGCCTGAGAACCAAAGAGCCACAGAGCATCGAGTACAATAGAAGCATAAAGGAAAAAGGGGTGTATTTCCCATATTGTGTGCACAGTAGTGTAGTTCAACACAGGAAGAGATGAAGAAAGATTTAACTGAACAAGATCAAACGCATGTTATGACTGCCACAAATGAGTTGCCACTATATGAGAGCAAGATTTTAGTGTTCAAATGATTTTTATTGTGGTCAAAAGCTGGAAAAAACAGGATTCTATAAGGGTTTCTTCAGCCAGAACAATAACACTGGCATCCCATCCAAATAGAGCTTGACACTGGTCTTTTATTTATTAAGCTTTCGTTCAGATTTGTTATTTAGTCATTGTGTTTATATCTCATGGTTTGCCATTTCTAATTATAGAGCTCTTTGGTTCAACTCTTGCTGTTTTAAATGTGGTTTATAAATAACTTGACGACACTGTTAAAAATGAATGGGTGTGGTAACTTAACATTTGTTTTAATGCTTGATCCCCTTGTGTTAGGTCTTGTCTCTCAATCTTTTCTCTTTAATTTCGCATTGATTGATATCCACTTCTTCTGATTAATAGTTCCCACCCCCACTCCTTTCCTCTCATGCCCTCCCCTTCTCTTTATAAACTTCTCTCTGTGTTTACCTAAGTCAGTTTCTCTTTGACGTCAGTGGGCAAGTGAGTTGATGGGAATGCTTATTTTCCTCCTTTCAAATAGGAAAATTACAAAAATAACAGTGCATGCTTAGTAAAACACAGCATGCATGACAAGTAATGACCCTGGCCAGGTCAAAGTTCAAAACAGCCTCCCATAGTGGCTTGCGTGCAGTCACATCACGGAGATACAGGGACCGTGACCGCACACAAAGAGCCTTCTGGGCTTGGTCTGGCTTTGCACTGACTCCTGACAACACTTGACCACATCATGTGCATGCGTGTGTGCTAATTTGGCATTTTTATGAGCGAACGTGACAACAAACTGAACATAAATGCTGTTTTCAATAGTCGCTCCTCTGCTCTCTTTGCTTTTCTTTTTTTCCTTTTTCCTCGTCCCTCTCTTACCTTCTTTCTGTGGTGTGGCGGTCTCTTCATCTCCGCCCTCCTTCTCAGCAGTGCAGCGGTATCCCTTCTTCTTCAGGATGTTGCAGATGAGGATACCCAGCAGGCCCATCACGCAGAAGATGGGCACCAGAGCGAACACAGCGTACTCTGCCGTCTTCTCCTCAGCGCTGCGCACCACCGTGCTGTTGGCCGGTCCTCCTGCTCCACTGGATGGACCTTTGCCGACAGTACGGACTGTTCGGACATGAGAATCTGCTGAGAGAAAGGAGAGGGAGAAGACACGAAGCATTAAAGAGAGACAGGAGGTAGCAGAGGCATGACCTTTTTTCTTGACAAGTGCAAATTATGAGACTCTACGCTGCAGAAGCATGCTTACTTTTCACACAGGGACTTTGGGTGGAAACTTGCCCTGTGGCAGTGGAGTGAAACCTGCACACGGACGAGAAAGAATAGAGTATAATTAGAGAGACGGAAAAGAAGAAACGTGAGGGAGTGTCTAAAAACGAAAGAACGAAGCAGTTTTATCCTGTTGGCATGTTATGTCCAGTGTTGACTGCCCATTGTGGTGAATGACATACTGTACTGATGTGTGTGTGTGTGTGTGTGTGCGGGTGTTTTCTTGTTTTCTAGAGACAGAGAAAATAACCGGACTTAATTTAGAACAAATAAAAGTTTACGAGCTACGATGTTGAAGCCTTTGAATGTCGGGCATACAGTTGGATTGAGTGGATTCAGGTAGAAGACAGCTCTTACCCAGTCAGACAGTCACCACAGACGACGTCCGAGGCTGCGGTGCCGGGAGTTGCAACCTTTCGGCCAAGGGTCTTGCAGGAGGCGTGCGGACGGCAAAGTTCAGAGTCAAGTGTGTCTGAAAAGCTTCCAGTTGGGCACAGCTGACATTGTACTTCCTCTGCTGGACTCTGGATCTGCCCACAAGCCTGGAATAAAAGCAAAAAAACTTCAGGCAAAAGAGGCTGAAAAAGCACCAACAGGGATGCTTAGCTGTCTTGCGTCTTATCCTCTTTATACTTCTACATAATCAACTTCAAACTAAGGCCTGAATGGTACTTATTCGTACAATTTCATAAACACGACCTGCAACAAAAGAGAAACATGACACCAAAGCATTGTCGTATTATTTATGGATTCATGGGAGCAGTCACTTTTTTTATGTTGACTGTGGCGACCAAACACATAAAGTATAAGATAACAGAGGAGTTGAAAAGGTGATTCGAAAATACACTCTAGGTTTGTGGCCTGAGGGTTTATTGGGAATGAACTTTTGTTACTGCAAATAAAAGAAATCACAGTGTTCTTTCTGTGCCAGGTTCAACCTTTGGCTGCAGCTGATTATGTCACAAGTCATTTGCACTCTGTCCTGCGTTTCTTTAAGCTCGACAGTGCAGAGTGCAGAGAAATGCTACATCGTGTCATTTCGGGGCACGAGGTGACAGTCAGCAGTGTGGAAGAGGATAAGAAAACTATCATAAAAGTTGTGATTACTCTGTTTTTTTTTGAGGAGGTTGTCTCACCTTGGAGGGCTCCTGGCCTGCGGGGCATTGCAGACACACACAGCCGTCCCCCCACCGACACTGCACCGCTGCAGTCCCACCACAGCCAAACACCTGGGAGACACTTAGGAGTCAGTGGAGGTGCATGCACATGTGTATGCATAGTGGGGTTATTTTTGCATAAATGCACACAAACACACATGTGCAGATATTTACCGCGAGAAGGACAAGAGCTGAGCAGCAAAGGTGGTTCCTCATCTTCTTCAATGTATTCTTCTATGTACATAAGATCTACAGGAGAGACAGAGAAGTGGGTTAATCACATTTTAACACATGATCAGGTCCACCTATATATATGGATGTAGCCGACTAATAAAAATCCGCCTTGTCATCTCAGTCAACAACTTTTTTCTAGTCAGAGAGGGCAGAAATACATCATGACAACACAATTAATGTCACGACAGACATACATGCACACTCATAGTAAACCACACAAGCTCACAAAAAAAAAAAAAAACAACACCTGAGTCATTTGTGCGATTTACCCAGAGCAGAGTGACTCTGGCAACAGGGAGGTAAGCAGCAGTTGTAAATGGCGTAAATAACATTTAACGTGACGTTTTTTACAAACAGCAGTGAATGAAGCAGGGATTTTCTGAGGCTATTTCTGGACCGTCGGTACTCACAAATACTTTTCAAGCAATGATTCACCCTGCAACATGTTCATTTGCCAACACACGTTGACTTTCTCAAAGCTCGACATTAGCTGCCACTGGCATGAGTATCCCCTGGAATTTTAGATAAGTAGGTGTTTTTTTTTTATGGAATAATGACATCAAATTAAAAAGCCACAACATGACAGAAGAGTTTTTTTAGAGGACGTGTAAGAACCTGACCAGAGCAATCTTTAAGTCAAATGGGTCACGTGCCACAGGCTGCTACCGTGTTGCAGCAAAAAAAACAATGCTGTCATCTCTAAAGTTAGCTATCTGCAGCCGGAAAGTATTTGACAAGAGTTTATTTAAAATAGCATCATCCCCTACAGTGCACTTAAATACATATTTATATGCACTCAAAGCGTGTGGTTGGAAAGGCGGTCATGGACGAAGATGAAATCTAAGCTGAGGTCACTTATCAACTCTTGAAGCTCTTATTATCACCAAGGTCTTGGTTTTTCAACTACATTTATGGCATCCTGGCACATTCGTTCAAGTGAGATTTCATTGTTTAATGTAACATGGCGTATTTGTTATAACAAAAAAATATATACTGTCGCTGTACAAAGGCAGCAGAGCAGGCAGCGGTGTGGTCAAACTCTGGTCCTTTTTATTCTCTAGAAATTCAGAATTGCTGGACTTTCTCCAGTTAATTTGATAATAATGCAATACATAAATTGCACCTTAAAATAAATTACAGAAATAACTCAAATTTCAAGACTGAGCATGCAGAAACCTGAAAAAAAAAAAAGTTTAACTGCTATAAGAATGTGAAGATATATTTATTTTTAATGTAATCATTGCATCTACTGTGTGACAACTCAGTGACAAAATAAATACGTTTATAGCACAAAATGCCCTGAATGCTGTGCTTACATTTGTGGCCACAATGACAGGACTGTGAACTCACTGAGCACTGGTATTATCAGTGGAGACCTCAGTCTGTCTCAGTCCTATTTGTGGTGGAAATGAATGACAGCTTCACACAACATAAAAATCCCTCACACTGCATTTTACACCACTTTCGTCCCTATGAATGTGAAAACATTAGATGCTCATGGGATGAGTGAGACAGTAAAATGTGTGAAAGACTGACAGCACAATGTTTGGAATTATTTTTTTTTCCTTTTGTCTTTCAGGAGGAGAGAATCTAACTGGCAGACTTGTTGGCTCTAAATGAGCTTGTAAAACAGCTGCTGACCGAAGTGAAAACATGAGAGCGATATGGAAACTTTCAAACAACAAAAGGATTTTTAAAAAAAATATATAATGGCAGAAGGAAGGCAAGAAAGGGACGCAAGAAAAGATGAGAAATCAGTCTGTGTAGCCTGGCAGCAGAAAGTAGAGGACAAGTAAGTGAGAAAAGAGAAAAAGAGAAAACAGACAAAGATCCATTGGCTAAAATCATAAAAGAAGGAGTGAAAATGGGAAAGACAGAATAGCATACTTACCCCAGACTTGCAGCTGACTGACACAGTTGCCGTGGCAACTCGGCGAGGATGCTGCGCGTACTGCTACAAATGCTGAGTCAGGACCAAACTCAAATATGCTCTAACTTTTCTTTCAACTGTCCAAGAACAACACAAGCACTTCACTAAACCCTGCACTTGATGAAACTTTAAAAAGTAACTCAGAAAAGATTAAATAAAGAATACAAAAATCTCTAGATATCTATCTGAAAGACGGAGTTAACACAAAGATTCAAATTAAATAAGTTACTGAAGCGACTGAAAAAAAAATCAGAAACACACAAGTCTGTGTAGCTGAATGGAGAATTCAGAGTACCTGCCAGTGTCTTATACTGTCACTGTGACCACAGACACACCCCTGACGTCCTTAGGACATGCCCCTTCTATCAAAGCTAAAACTGTGAGTGTGTGTTTTACATGTGTGTGGGTGAGGCTGCTTTAATGCCGCTCTTCACCTTTGACCACACGGTCAAACACAGTATTTTAAACATTAGTTAGCGAGTAAATCAACACTTCTTCACTCAGACCCATTCATTCTCTGACTTTGTGTGGTCAACACAGCACACGCACCTGCACAGCACATCTGTAGTGTTAAAAATGTGCAGCAAGTGTGCGGTGATGGGATCCTTTTCCAACACATTATCTGTGTGCATTTATACATGTTCATGCAGGTATGCACATACACACACAGACACACATGGAAACATCTGGAATGCCATACCATCCAGCCAACACCAAGCTGTTCCTTGTACAAACAAGAAAATAAAAAATGTAATGAGTTTATGATTTTGGTCCGGCGAGGCCATCACGCCAATGACAGGCTTCTGAGGCATAATTTTAGGGGGGAAGAGAAAGATAAAGCGAGGACAGAAAAACCACCAGCTTGAAAAAACAACACTGGGCCGATCCGGTCGTAGAGGAAGAGAAGGGAGGAAGAGAGAACGAGGGGAAGGAAGGATGGAAAGAGGAGAAAGTGGAAGGGAGTGACATTGCTAAAACTTCAACCTGATAGCATGATGTATATATAGAAGCATTTGTTAAAATGCCATTCAGACCAGAGCAAGAGGCTAATTACAAGTCACACACGCGCACATATATCTACACATTCGAGCATGCACCCTCACATGCACACACAACTGAAAAAAGGAAAAAAATGATCAATAAAAGACAATGATAGAGAGAGCAAAATAAAAATGGGACCTGCAATTAAGTACCTCTTTTTTTAGAAAGTGTCAAGTAACAAATTGGATCGTCCTCGAGGGGTTGAGGAATGTTGGCTTTCTGCAAAGAACCTAACTTGACCTCCAAAAGTGCAGCCACTGTAACAACTACACTGCAGCAGAGCAGGGTGAAACTGATTTATTGTGTGATAAATGCATATATTCCAGTCTCCTCCTTAAATGGCAGCACTGTATTTTTCAAAGTTTGGAGTGAGAATGTATTTTTAAAAACAGCTCTTGTGGTGAGATCACGTTTTATCAGTTTGAAAAAGCTTCTGCAAAGTTATTTCTTCACAATGCACCATTTATTTCATCTACAAAACTCATACTTTAGTCAACGCCAAGATGTTTAAATGAAAGAAAAATCACACAAGGAATGTGGAACAGGAAAGTGCATCAACTAGAATGTGTAGTTTCACCTGCTGACTGTCCACAGGTGGAGGCCAGTGTGTGCAGCAGCAGCAGCAGCAGCAGCAACACATGCAGGGAAAATCCAGTTAAAATACAAAACGCTGAATCTGTAAGCGTGTCCAAAAACAATGTTTAAATTGTGCCCACTGCTTAACCACTGTCCTTAGAAGTCAAAACCATTCACAGCCAGGCAATCCATGCCAGCAATGTCCGCATGTGATGCATTTACATTTAAATCCAGTTTGTCTGAGGCTTTCTCCACAAACCCACTACAGAGGTGACCGCCACACGTGGGGCTTCCACTGGACCTACAGGCACATGACCGCCTCCGTGTCCACGCGTGGCCTTGCTCGCCACCCATCACAAAGTGCCACTCAAACGCCAGCCATTGGAAAACTTTCTATTGTATTTTAAAGGCATAGGTTTAAGTTTGGGACATTTGCTTATTGGCTTTCTAAATCACATTTGGATTAGAAAATCAGTAACATCTGCATATCTCTCTGGAAAAAACTAAAGCTACAGGTGGCAGACGTGTAGAAGAACATAGCCTACCAGCCTGCTAGAACCTCTGACAATCACTAATGTTCATTGTAAAATAAGAAAAGCCTGTTTAATCCCACAAAAGGGTAGTTTGCAGTGTTACAGTAGCAAAGGTGATACTGCAAATGTGTAGGGATTGTCAGTAGAAAATAAAAAGGAACAAAAATATACATAAGTTTTGATTCTTCCATATGTGGATATTTAGATATTGCACAAAAAAGTCCTCCGAATGTGAAAATGACAATGTTGCACATTTCAATTCTGCAAATCTGCCCTGTTGTTACCTCATAGATTCAACTTCTCCAAGGTCAGCAGAGTTTTTACCACATAACTATATTGCATCCAGCACTGCTATTATTATGACAACTGTTAAATAAGGTGGAAGTAAAAGAGAAACTCATTAAATGTAGGAGTGAGATTGACTTCAATTTGGTTGCTCTGTACTTGTGACATGTGCAAGGACAATAAAACTGATTCTGATTCTGATTCTGTCTTTGAAACCAATAGAACAGTCCTCCTTTTTGACTGAGTCAGTCATTATTCCTTGTCTAGCTCATGAGAAGCATTTTAAGCTATTGTGTTTATGGCTGGGATGTTTCTAATAAGGGGCTGCAAGGTGGATGGGTGGTTAGCACCATTGCCTCACAGCAAGAAGGTCGCTGGTTCGCGTCCTGATGAGGACACCCGGGATCTTTCTGAGTTTGAATGTTCTCCCCATGCAGCGTGGATTCTCTCTGGGTTCTCCGGCTTGGATGGATGGATGGACGGGCGGACGGACGGACGGACGGACGGACGGACGGACGGACGGATGGACAGATGGATATTTCTAATAAGGGGTCACCTGGAGCACATTGCTGCAGCTCCTTAAACAGTAGTGTCCATGCTGAGGTATGAGATGACCCAAAGGGGTCACAGGATAGATCTGACTGGTTGTG